AAGATTATAGGCTAAATCTCATTTCTTTTCTTTGTATTGACTCTTTTAAGTTTCCAAATCTAGTTTTACTTTTTTCCTCCTCCAATTTGCTTCTTTGTACATTTCCCTGAGAATTAGCTACCATCTAACTAGAATTCCAGAATAGTAGTTTCTAAGCATGATGTTGAATATTTGGGTATCCTGAAACTCTCTGGGGTAACAAGACAGGGCGTATGATTTTTCATGTTTTCTGACCCAAAAGGTGGAAAGGCGGAAGGGGGCCATCTGTCCAGGCAATACCCATCCAACAGTGGAGGACAGTGACCAGCTGTCTGGGTTGGTCAAGTGCATGCAGCCTGTTGGCAGAGCCAGCAAGCACTGAGTTCTCACTTGCTGTTTTCTCCGGGTCACACTGCTGCATATGCTGTACTTTACAGCACTGCTTTTTCTGTAAGGTTTTGAACTGATGCCTAATTTCCATGGTCTTCAGCTTAGCTGAGTTTGAGAAATATTTAGTATGTAATTCATGATAATATGCAAGTATAGCCTCAAGAGATTCCCCTAGTCCCACAAATCCCTCAAATAATCATGGACTGGCTGTGCTTCAGGCAGATTGGCTCCTCACTATAATTTGTTATTCATAGAGTTATCTTTCTGGGACTGTCAGTTTTAAGCTATTTTAAAACAGCATTACATTTACCCTAGCAATACTTCATTTTCATTTCTTCTTGTGTTTACTAGCTTATAATAGAATTTAATTTCATTTGTAAATGTTATTATTCAGGATGATGTTGAAATAATCTGCATTAGCAAAACCAGCACACTGTACAACAGAGTTTAATTTCTATCATGATGGCTACATATTTGAATCAGACTAGAGAAACATAGCTAATGACCATAAATCTAAATGGGATATGTATCAATGTGTTTTCTTCCTTAGGTAGATACAATCAGTTTAAATGCTGCAAGCACACTGTTAGTTTCTGGCACCAAAGAAGGCACAGTGAATATTTGGGACCTCACAACGGCCACCTTAATGCACGAGATTTCATGCCATTCAGGGATTGTATGTGACGCTGCTTTTAGCCCAGGTAGATATTATCCTTTTTAAAACAAATAATAGCAGGTAAATTGGAATTCTGAAATAAACAGTATTGTTAATTTTGAAATAAAAAATAAAATTTACGAAGAAAAACAGTTTGCTGATAAAAGAGGTTTTGCCTATAGCTAACACTGCTTTATGCCAGGATACAGTATACTTGTGGCATTTATATCAGATAGAAAAGCAAGATTGGTTATTTTTAATTCTTCAAATCAGTCAAGAAACTAATTTATAAGGTAAAGATGAACTCATAATCAAAGGGTCATCTCATCCCTGTCTTGGAAAGCGCTGGAACCATTTCAAGGAGAGGATAGTCATTGCTTAAGTACAAGGATTTTGAAGAAAAGGAATGTGGAGATTAGGCCACTGGACTCAGAAATAAAATCCAGAATAATCTAAACCACATTCTGAAACGTCACTCATATCTGAGTCCCACCTTGTATTGCAGATAGTCGCCATGTCCTCAGCACAGGAGCAGATGGCTGTCTTAATGTCATCGATGTGCAGACAGGAATGCTCATCTCCTCTATGACGTCAGATGAGCCCCAGAGGTACAGTTTGTCAGTTACAGGGGGGTGAAGACATTTACAAACACGTTCATGATCACTTCATTTGGGTTTACATTGGCCAATTTAACATAGTCTTTCCTTCATGATGAAGGAGGAGTTATTTCTAAATCATTCTTGCAGGTGCTTTGTCTGGGATGGAAATTCCGTTTTATCTGGAAGCCAGTCTGGTGAACTGCTCATTTGGGATCTCCTTGGAGCAAAAATCAGTGAGAGAATACAGGGCCACACAGGTAAGCAGCTACTGCAGTTGTCTTGATCTTTGTTCTCAAGATAATGAACTCAAGCCTGCCTTTTCCATCAGGGAACACAGTCTTCTTGGGTAGAAAACACCCATGGTCTTCCATACTGTCCATGTGTCCCTTGAGCATCCTGATTGGCCAGGTGATCTGCATCTCTTAGGTTACTCAGGATTTAGATTTATGTTGACAGGCATTGGACTCCAAAAAGGAAGTCTTTAACTTTCATATGGACAGTTAAAAACCATCATAAAGCTATAATTTTTTTAAAGATAATAGTATGATCTTAAATTGTTAGTTAAAAAAAAAAAAAAAAAAGCAAGCAAGCAAGAAACCCAGAAACAAAACAAAAGTAAAGAATTACATGAAAATTAAGGCTTCTTTCTACTGCTGACTTCTGTCTCCCAGTCCTCCTTACAGTACTTTACCAATGTGTGTCCTGTGAATAAGAAGGTATATGTGTATAAAATTATTTATGTGGAGTATACTAAACTGTTCTGCACATCTTTTCATTTAGTAATATTTCTTGGAGGTTCATTAGATTGTTTGCTTACAACTTTTTGCTTTCTTTCTCATCATTTGGAGGACTTGGTTTTTAATTCTTCTAGTGAGATACAGAATCTCCTGTTACCTATGTTGACTTCCCACTGTAAGGAGTAACTTCCTACCTTCATTCTCTTCCCTGTGTCACTTGATTTCATATGGTTATTTCTTCTTAAATGTGTATCTTAAAAATTCTGGGCCAGGCTCAGTGGCTCATGCCTATAATACCAGCATTAAGGTGGGAGGATTGCTTGAGGTCAACAATTTGAGACCACCAGCCTGGGCAACACAGTGAAACCTCATCTCTACTAAAAATAAAAAATATTAGGTGAGTGTGGTGGCACATGGCTGTGATCCCAGCTACTTAAAGGGCTAAGGTGGGAGAATAGCTTGAGCCCAGGAGATGGAGGCTGCAGTGAGCTTGATCATGCCACTGTACTTCAGCCTGGGTAAGAGTGAGACACTGTTTCGAAAAAAAAAAAAGAAATTCTTTGTGACTTTTGTTCTTAGCTTAGTAACTTGAATGTCATTTGACCCCTTCCAGTGGAAAAGGAAATGAACCAATAACCTTACACCAATTCCCCACCTTTTTTTTCACATCCGTCTCCTAACTTTTGTCATGTTATACCTGTATTATACTTATTTTGCCAAGGTATTTATTTGCTTTCTGTTCTTTATCTGTAATTCCAAATTGTTTTAGCTTTAGATTTATACTTAAATGGTTTCTTATTCCTCACAAGATCTTTGTACCAAGCAATTATTTTTATTCAAGAGTTTTGTTATAGAAAGGAGACAAGAAAAACAGAACTTACTTCATTTCTTTAGTAAACGAATAGCAAAGCAAGAGTAAGCGTCAGAGTAAAGTTCATCTTTGGGTGCTCCTGGTTAACTTCCTACCTAACCAAAATGTCTCTTTTTGTCAGGTGCTGTGACATGTATATGGATGAATGAACAGTGTAGCAGTATCATCACAGGAGGGGAAGACAGACAAATTATTTTCTGGAAATTACAGTATTAAGTGCCTTTTCCTCTTCTGAATATTAAATTGAACTCTATTCAATGCATTTTTAAACCAAACTTTTAAATGGACTGGTGAATGTGCAATGATAGTAATTAGAAGTTTTACCACACGGAAAATGTGTGGCTTTAAACTTTGAAAATCATGGTGACTTCACTGAAAGCCATTAGTTGCCATTCTCTTAAGGCAGATAAAATGTGGCAGTGTTTGTTAGGGAAAAAAAACTTTACATTGAAAGGCAGATGATCATCCCAGTATGATGACTGTCAGAAGACAGGACTGAGTAGCAGAGAGTAGCTAAGAGATAAATTGGCTGGGGAAACTTGTCAGAAAGCACTGAAGAATTAAGAATTTTCCGGCCGGGCGCGGTGGCTCAAGTTTGTAATCCCAGCACTTTGGGAGGCCGAGGCGGGTGGATCACGAGGTCGAGAGATCGAGACCATCCTGGTCAACATGGTGAAACCCCATCTCTACTAAAAATACAAAAAATTAGCTGGGCATGGTGGTGCGTGCCTGTAATCCCAGCTACTCAGGAGGCTGAGGCAGGAGAATTGCCTGAACCCAGGAGGCAGAGGTTGCGGTGAGCCGAGATCGCGCCATTGCACTCCAGCCTGGGTAACGAGCGAAAACTCCGTCTCAAAAAAAAAAAAAAAAGAATTTTCCAAGAAAATGTGCAGTACTCTCTGCTACTTCTGAGGCTGTTTTGTCTTCCTAGTCTATCACAATTGCCACTCATCGGGTTTTGGGTGTGTGTTTTCATAGAGGTTACTTTCTATATTGCTGTACCCAGATTCTAAGAACCTGGAGAAGGATTAGCAGTTCTTATAACAGTAAGTTTACTGTGTATAGGAACGGTTTGTATTTCATTATAGCTATCCATCTTTTCTACATTAAAAATATTTTTCTCTAAAGAAAGCTGTTTTCATTTTATTTAAATAACATAAGACTAGTAGTTTTTAAGACAAGTATTGATTCTTCTAGAAAACCATGTTTAATGATACGAATGTAATTCTATTACTTTTGAAATTATCTTCAGACTCAAGGTAGACAATCAAATATTTTGGTTTTCTCTTCTAAATTTCAAACAAGGTAAGCTGTACAGCAGTAGCAGACTTTCTTTTATATTCAACCTCTGAACCATGGTAATTATGTGACTTAAGTTTTTTCTGTACTCTTTAAAACACTGTTACATCTTACAGGTAGTATAAGAGAGGAGAAAAAAACTTAAGTCAGACCACACTGATAGAATTTTCAGTCAGTTTCAAGTGTTATTAAATATTACCTGGTGTCAGGTGTTGTCAGGAACAGTCAGTACCCTCAGTGAGTTCCTGCTGCATGGCAGGTGTGAACCAGCTCTCTCCGACCTGGTAATCTGGGGTTCCCAGCTGGAAGCAATTTTCCTGACACTCAGTTTCTCAGCACTGAGAGCTGTTCTTAGGGCACCTGAAACATCAGCTTGTCTGAGAGATAACTATCTCCCATAGCTGATAGTGAATCTCACATGCTTAACTTCTACATCATGCATAAGTTTGGTGAAAGCAAATGATGCAGTAACAGACTAAAATGTAAGTTTATGTATACATATTTAATTAGAATAGACATAAACCAAAATGAAACAAAAAATCAGGATAAAGTTACACTATCATTTTGTTTGTAAGGAGAAGTCACGAAATGGAAGAAATTACCAGAAAAATACTCTAAGACCATCCTGAACTAGCTAGGTTACACATAATCTTAAGAGTCAAATGCCAAAATTAAGTATTACACCACTTAATCCACAAAAAAACAAAATGGGAATCAAAAGTTTATCCTGTTTTGTGTAATAATTTTTACATTAAATATATAGCTATTTGCTTCTCACAAAGCGGTACTGGCAACTTTTAGAAGAAAGAAGTTTCCATTATGCATTGACTAAAAAATCTCAAAAACAACTAAGCAGCTATGCTGTAGCTCAGTAAGTACCATTAAACTGTTCTGGGCTAGTGTACATTTCAGGTTAATAGAGAACTACATTTTGGGTTTTAGAAAGGCAGCAATAATTATATTTTGGCTTTTAGTCTAGATGCTTAACATAGTTAAGGCGACAGTTCAAGCATATTAAGTGAAGGTAGTTAAAATTTAAAAACAATCATCACAATCTCTTGCAACCTACACACACTGTTTAATGCTTACCTGGAATCAAACCAGTGTTCTTAATTGGCATTTTACATACACACAAACAGAATTTTTTTAAAAGATCAAAGGCAATCATTCTAAATGTACTATGATAGCATGTTAAAAACGCAAATATGCTATAGAGCTAAAGTAATATGAACAGCACTACTCGCTGACCTAGGAGAAATGTGACTGGTTTTGACAAAGCTAAGCCTGTATCAGTCATCCTAATCACAATGGCTTATAAAAGCATCAGGTTTCCAGTAGAGAAACTATTCTAGGAAAGTCAGTAAATCTCTTGAAAGTTTCACATCTGTAAAACCAGGATAAGGCTACAACTATTTTGAAATCTGAACGAAGTATCAGATGAAATAGTAAGATTCCCAGCCATAATGTAAGATAGAAAGGTCCTCATGCAGCATATGCTCGCTGGCTCCGGGAAAGCTTCATGTGCATAATACAGAAGTTGCCAAAGAAGGAAGCTGGAGACGTTCAGCTACATTTCCATGGTGCTGTGAATTTAAACCTCAGGAATGGTGTGGTCCATTAGGCTTTTCATAATGCTTGGTGCCATCCTACAAGAGGTAATTTTATTATATACCAAGGTTATGTTTTGTTTCAAAAATACTATGTTAATCCAAGAAAATTCCCAATTCCAATTTAGCACCTGTTAGCATCAAAGGTGAATGGAGAGAAGGGAAAGATCTTTTAAATGAGTCTAGAAGCATCTCTGGTAATCTAGCTGTTGACAGATACTCAGTGGGAGAGGCTAACTGTATTTGGCTAGAGAAGTTAGGATACAAATGAATTACTGTACATTAAACCTGATGATTTTTTTAAAACAGAGAGAAAATGACAAGGCTGTGATTAAATTGGGGTAGAGGGATCCATCGGTGATTTAAGAGAACCCTAGAACAAGTAGTCATGACAATAACTCCTTTTTACCCCTTCCAAGAGTAGCTAAGTGCATTCCATCCAGAAGCTGACACAAAAATTTTCATTACAATGGTTATGTTTATGAATCTTTTCAATCTCATTTTCACATGCATGATAGAGCTTCTGAAAAGTATTCCAAGCTGGCTTGACAAAAACAGCTATGGTAGATGCTAGGATCTGAAAAGCTCTACAGAAGTAACCCTTGCTGCCTCTTTTCAGTTCTGATCACTTGGCACTCTAATCCTCAGTTCCTGAGCACAGATAGCATCAACACACCACACATGTCTATCTGCCTCCTGAGATTCTGGAGAGAAGAGAAACTGTTTTTTCTACAATTCCAACAGCAAGAATTCTCCATTATAAACCACCACAGCTAGATTTATACTGAGCAGAGGAGTGGTAGGCAGTACAACTGCAGTCAATTGTATTATTGCAAATTGAAAGCTGAAAGCATGCCCACTTCTCCTTGGATACCTTTTTTCTACTAGGCAATATCAAAACTAAGCAAGTATATGTGAATTTTACTCACACTCGGAAGTTGTGAGAGCTCATCCTTACCCCTCTGATTCAAATAATTTACTTCAAAGTTCTAGATAAACACCAGTATCCATTCCTTAGGTAAAAGAACCAAAGGGCTGAGAATTAAAAGTATATGGTGCTTATATTAAGTCACATGACCATATGCATTAAGTTGAGAAATTGTCTACTTACCGCTTAATAATATGTTCAAAGATAAAAGCAGGCATGATTGTAATAGTAACTACAGTCCCAGATGTTGACAGTATGTCTGCAATTTGAGAGTCCTGATAAAAACACACATTCAAAATTAATTCCACAGAGGCATTATTTAATATGTACAAAACTATGCCGTCTTAGTAAAGAAATACAAAATATATGTCCTGTTACGTTTTATTAATATCTCTAAAATCCTGTATTTCTAATTTTTTTAGTGTTTCTTACCCAGTTTATTTGTACACTGTTTCACAGCTAGTAACCAAATTGCTTAAGTAAACTGAGTTGAATATTTTAGCTAAAAAAAACTTATTTCTGAATATTAAATAATTTTCCCCATATACAATACTACCACCTCCTCTTAGTTAACTCTATATTCTAAACCAAAGTCTATGAAATGAGGAGGTCATACTTAAAACCTTTCGACCTTAAGACAGACTTATATAGGAATTAGTGGAGGGGAAAAACTATATAAACAAGATACTAATATGAACCAAAACTATTATTCATTTCCTTATATTCCTGGGTTGAGAAGTGTTGGGCAATCATTCATTTAGAATGGCATAAAAAATCTTTGGTAGCCATATTTCCACAGAATTCTAGCGTGAGGTACTTCTGAGATCATTTATTCCAGCCCTCTTGTTATAGGAACTGTAGTTCCGGATGACAGCCCAAATACTTTTGGTGACTGGGCAGAGCAAGAGCCCAGACCCTACATTCCCCATCTCCCACCTAAATCAATATAAAAATAGCACCATCTAAATATAATGAAGAGACTGACATTTTCTAAAACTGCAGCAGAACAAGCCATAAAGTCTGTTCCTTACCTTCAATCCAATGACATTCTGTCCATTGATTTCACAGATGTTATGTTCTGTGAGAAGACCATTTCTGGCTGCAGAGCTATCTTTCACTATGGATGTTATTTTTCCATTTTTAAAGATAAAACCAACATGTCCAGTGCTATCCTTATGCATGGTAATCGTCCGTTCAAAGGGCCTACAAACATAATGGGTTCAATTAAAAACTTAATTCTAAGGTAAACCTTTTAATGGATTTCATATTCCATAAATGTTGCCATATTGAATACCTTTATAATAAACACTGTTTCTAATAAGAGCAAGTTATGGCTCTGATTTTATACATTCACAAGAACATCTTTGTGTAAAAGGTTTTTTTAAAGTTTATTTATTATGGTTTGACTGACTAATCAACATTTCCTTCTTTTAAGTATCAAAGACAACTGCTTTATATGGTTTTATGAATTTTGAGACAGAGTCTTGCTCTGTCACCAGGTGCCAGGCTGGAGTGCAGTGGCATGATCTCGGCTCACCACAACCTCCACCTCCTGGGTTCAAGCAATTCTCCTGCCTCAGCCTCCCGAGTAGCTGGGACCACAGGCACGCGCCACCACGACCAGCTAATTTTTGTATTTTTTTAGTAGAGACAGGGTTTCACCATGGTCTCGATCTCTTGACCTCGTGATTCACCTGCCTCGGCCTCCCAAAGTGCTGGGATTACAGGCGTGAGCCACTGTGCCCGGCCGCTTTTTCTTTATAATTAGACTTTACAGCATTAAGAATGATACAGACTTAACTAAATCACAGTGGTAAAAATAATTTCTGTTTTTTAACTTTTGGTATTTTCTGGTGCCAAATCATTTTTAGGGACTATTTCTTTTATTTAAAACCTTTAAACTATTTCTCAAATCTTGATTTCGAAAATTTTATACATTGTTATATTTGAAAAGAAGAACTAGAGCCAGCATTAAGACTTACGTTCCTCAAGCCCCTTTGGAAAGGAAGGCATGCAGCTATTATTAAAAGGCATCCAACTGTCCTTCTAGAGCTGTTACACCAGTTACATTTGCTTGATTCTCTATAAACTCTGTTACCATGTTCTCATAAGGGTTTTTTGATGAACTTGTGTTTACATTATTAAATTCTGTTAGTACAACTTACTCTTTGAAACTGCTTTAGATAAAAAGTAAAAAGGACATTCATCTGAAACATTTACTAAATACCTAAACTGTATGAGAAACTGGAAACACAGAAAACAGAAGTTTCATTGAGAAGGAACAAAAACTCAAAAGCTTACTATAACGATGTGATATAGGTCCACCCTTAATTAGATATGGAGTAGACAAGAAAATAAATGAAGGGCCCTATTTCATGTGCTGTTTAAGTTCTAACTGAATGAGCTGCTAAATAGAATATTCCACGTTCTTGAAAACTACTAGTTCATAACTACCCGAAAGTTTTGGTATGGCTTTCAGAACTCCCACACTACTTAGAAGTTTGCATGGGCTCTGACCCTCACAATGAGGACTCAGCACTGGGTGTGAACACCCTAGGCTGGATGTATCTAAGCAGTTAAGTTGGAAAGTGAGCACAGAGATGCCTTGCTACTCAAGTTACTTCTCCAACATATATTTTTTTATTTTCTAGAGAGATTTGTCCTATAAACTCTGAAATAAGGTATATCGGAATGCTTTAAAAACAAACTATGTAAGACAAATCTGCACCACACAACTGCAAGACTATAAGGCTCATTAATAACATTTGATCATTTTCTGCAACAAAATAATATATTCACAGACTCTGAAAACCCCCCAAAATGCAAAACTAATCTTGAAGTTTAATTTGAACTGTTTGCTAACAGCTTACCTGTCACGAATGGTCATGGTAATCTTCTCTCCAAAAGCCTGTTTGAGCACCTTGTGCGCCTTATCAGAGCTCCACCCTGCACAGTTTTCACCATTGATCTGGAGTACTTGGTCCCCAAATCTCAGACCAACCAATGAGGCTGGAGAATTAGCCTGGACTAGCTGAACAAATATACCCTAGATAATAAGAAAGTAAGTTTTGTCATTTACCACTATTATGGTATGGTTCTAAAATGCTGGAAAATTAGGAAACAACTCTTTATGTTAAAAAAAAAAAAATCTACCTTGGTGATGAAAGAAAAAAAAGGAAAAACTATGAGTATAATATATCATTATCACCTCAAAAGAAACCGAAACATTTATCAAGGCAGTAACTCCAAAGAAGAAAGCAGAAAAGTGAGATTTCAATGGCAATTTCTATACCAAATCATAACCCACCTGACCAGCCACAACCCCTCTACCTTCAACTTGGAATACAAAACTAAGGAAAATAAAGGACAACTTTAATAAATGCAAGAATATATGAGTCTGATAGAATACCAAATTATCAGTACATAATCATTATATTTAGGGGAAAAGCAAGTCACATGTTAGAAAGTTTGGTGAGTTCTTTTACAGCTTCATAAATGACTGTTTAAGGTCATAATTCTACCTTTTGAGCTGAAGTGTTCCTTAACCCATTTGCTACACTGTGTAAAATCAGGTAAGATTAAAGTTTATTTGATAGCCTAAAAAGATGAGCATATTAAATCTACATGCACAGGCTTATAAAGAACACACTATGAAATAAATATAGAGAACACAAGTACTGTTAACCAGTAACTACACTTACATGGATATTTTTACTTATGTAAATCTCCATCAGAAATTGAACAAAATATAAATAGATAGGTATAAAAGAAGAATAAGACAGAATATAAGAGCATTTACAAGGCTAGAGCCTTCCTACAATCCTAAACTAGGTAAGACATTTCTATCACACGTCTGTTACATTGCAGAGTGATAAGCAAGAATTAGGCAGCACCCCATAAATGAACCAACGCGCTTGGCCAAGTGAACAAATCCACTCCAAGTGTTACCTACAGTGGGGCCAAGGGGGTCTATGAAAAGTATCTTTTCTCTTTAGACAGCAGAAAGAACACAAGAACAATCCTGGCATAAGGGGCAGCAGTATACTGTATTCCCTGCAGAGGAAAGCAGAAAGGGCAGCAAAGTCAGAGCATCCCAACCAAGCACACAAGATGTATTCTGAATAAGATATAAGTGAACAAGGCCATCGATGGCCTCAGCCCCCTGGGTGGGTAGGCGTGGTTGGGGCTTCCTGCCATGATCAGCCTTCTCCATTTCAGCGGTGCACTATGCTAGAGATGTATGACTGAAACTGAACCCAGTGAGGTAATGGCTAAAACTATATATTGGGGTGAAGATTCAGCATGTCCTTAACAATTCTAAATGGTTCCTGAGAGTTTCATATCTTCAGTATGGTAAGGTGAGAGGTAAAGTAATCATAAAGTCAAGTAATAGCTGCCCTAATTAGAAAAAAAACTTTTACTCAGAAAATGACATACTAAATTCAAATTTGAAGGGTGGAAATAACAGCAAAAACCATCTCACAAATACTGATTGGTTTTAAAATGCACACACATTGACATCAACTCTCACTGGTCAGTTTTGTCTTAACCTTCACATCTGCTCTATTTAATTGCCACAATTCTATACAAACTACATTATAATATATGTAGGCCAGTGAACTGCATTCCAGTTAGAGTACTCAGAAAAGAAAAACATCTTTCAAAGTAGTGTGGTCAGAAGTCCCAACTCTGCCTCTGTAAAATAGAACATCCCCAATTGAACAAAAGTTGTATATTTAAAATATTCTCAACTACAGATGCACCATTATAGTTAAAGCATTTCCATTTCAAATTATTTTCACATGAATCACTTATATAGGTATTAAAAATACTTACATTATCTATTGATTTAAGCCTGAGTCCAATTTTTCCATCTTGATCCTTACACAAAATGACTTCACGAATCCCTTGCTTAATTTCTGCTCTACGAATTCCAACATCATTACCAGTTACAGGAGCCACCATATAGTTCATACTGGAAGGTCTTGCTACCAACTGCTGACAAACCCATATACAATGTGTCAATATTTAGAAGCACTCTTCTTGAAAAAAAACAATGATAATTAACTGGAACATACTCAATTGTGGCTTTCCAAAAAGGAATCCACAAATAATTTCCTTCAGATAAAGTTTTACGTCTATGAAAATGGCACTGGCTCTATTACTAATTCTTCATTAACTTATTCCCACATATATCATCTCTAATAGATTCAATGATTCTCTGTTACCTTTTGAATTCACTGACATTTGGATGGTACATTGGCTTGTCTTCATCTCAAATGTATTATCTTTGAACTTAAAGACCACATGCTTTGAAACACATTTTCCAGAGGGTTGTTTTATATGTCATGATCTTTGACAACCTACTTATCCTTTCAGAATTTCCAAAAAAGGGGCAACCTTCTTAACCTCAGTGTTACTGAGAGGACTAAATGAAAAGTGCATGTTGTACGGACCTGGCACAAGTAAGACAGTCAACTATTATGTCTTCTCCCCTCTAATAACCATCTATAGATTAAGAAATCATAGGCAGGCCGGGCGCGGTGGCTCAAGCCTGTAATCCCAGCACTTTGGGAGGCCGAGGCAGGTGGATCACAAGGTCGAGAGATCGAGACCATCCTGGTCAACATGGTGAAACCCCATCTCTACTAAAAAATACAAAAAAAAAAAAAATTAGCTGGGCATGGTGGCACATGCCTGTAATCCCAGCTACTCAGGAGGCTGAGGCAGGAGAATTGCCTGAACCCAGGAGGCGGAGGTTGCGGTGAGCCGAGATCGCGCCATTGCACTCCAGCCTGGGTAACAAGAGGGAAACTCCGTCTCAAAAAAAAAAGAAAAAAAAAAAAAAGAAATCATAGGCATAAACCAGAATGCCCCAGAATACCTATATTAGGGACCTGTGTCAGGTACCATGCTTTAAGTTTTTAATTTTTTCAAGTTTTCCTGATCAAAATTGGTTTCTTATTTTAAGTGAAACCTTTCCCTAACCAAAAAGAAAATGGAATAATATCAGGCCATCAAAAAAAGGAAATCTTGACATTTGGACAGCGTGAATAAACCTAGAGAATATTATGCCAAGTGAAATAAACCAGACACAGAAAGACAAGTATTGTCTGGATCTCACTTATATATGAATCTGAAAAGAGTCAAACTCACACAAGTAGTTTTCCTCATTCTCTCCCCTGTCCACGTCAGGGGCTGAAGTGGGCAGGGGAAAGGATAAGGGAAATATTGGTCAAAGTGTACAGACTTTCAGTTTAGAGTACGTTCTAGAGATCTATGTACAGCACAGTAACTATAGTTAATAACACTGTACTGTATACTTGAAATTTGTTGAGAGTACCAAGTGTTTTCACCACACACCAAAAGAAATGGTAACTACGTGAGGTGACAGATACGTTAATAACCTTGACTCTGGTAATCATTTCACAGTGTGTGTGTGTGTGTGTGTGTGTGTGTGTGTGTGTATGTATCACTACATCAAGTTGTATTGAAATACACAGTTGAATATAAACAATTTTTATTTGTTTTTTTTTTTTTTTGAGACGGAGTTTCGCTCTTGTTACCCAGGCTGGAGTGCAATGGCGTGATCTCAGCTCACCGCAACCTCCGCCTCCTGGGCTCAGGCAATTCTCCTGCCTCAGCCTCCTGAGTAGCTGGGATTACACGCACGCGCCACCACACCCAGCTAGTTTTTTTGTATTTTTTTTTTAGCAGAGACGGGGTTTCACCATGTTGACCAGGATGGTCTCGATCTCTCGACCTCGTGATCCACCCGCCTCGGCCTCCCAAAGTGCTGGGATTACAGGCTTGAGCCACCGCGCCCGGCCAATTTTTATTTGTTAATTATACCTCAATAAAGCTGGGGAGGGGGGAGATCGAGATGGAACATGAAGAGAAAAAAAAAGTATGTGAAATGAAAAATTCACTAGATATGGAGAGTTAACAGAAATCTCCAGCAACAACTTAAAGTAATTTAAAATTAAAAAGAAGAAAAAGAAAAGGCAGTGGTGCACTGAAGAACCCTGGAGATTCAGACACAAAAAATGAAGGTTTAGGTCACCCTTCTAGGTATCAAGTTTTTTAAAAAAAGACCAGCTGAAGTATTGCCCAAGGGCAAAAGGATCTAAGCATCTATGTAGTGAACAAAGGAACTTCTAAATGTTAACTACAGCCTCATGAGCAGTTACTAAAATAAGAATCAGAGCAGCTATGACTCTTCTTTGTATCTGTATATTTTCTGTAAATACAGCAATTAATCTTTCTGTTCCTTTGTACCTCCTTTTACCTTTATGTATGAATTGTTGGCGGTGCTTAACTTTACACTTTAGCCTTTAAATTAAAAATATTCTGTTGGGAAAGTGAATACTTGAAGGGTAATTAATATCATACAGAAATCAACACCATGACCACTGCCCAGAGACAGCCACATTAACTGGTATCATCCCTTTCTGGAGAAAGGGTAAGAGCAACTTCATTTATATGGAGGGGTACATGTATTCATTTTGTACACCCCTGAGTTAAGACTGATCTTTATATTTTTAAAGATTGTAAACAAACAATAAGAAGAATATGTGATAAAGATCATAAGTGACCATGAAAGCCTAAGGTATTTATTATGGAACTCTATTATAAAGTTTGAACTTTGATTTTATGAAGAAGTGCATCTTTTAAGGAGAAAGTATAAAGTTGTTATTGTTGTCACATGCAATTCAAATATTTGTACGTGTGTGGACATACTGAGTAGTCAAGGGAAAAAGTGGTAACACATATTGAGCTACTGTTGATCAGCTCCAAATCTACCCTTCTAGACTCTACTTGGTGACACTGGGCCTAACTGTGCAAATTATATTTTCGTTTGTCAGTGACTGGAGTGAAAAGCACCTCGGTCCTTCCTGTGTGCTTCCTGTTCCTGTTAGCATTGTGTACGCCTGGCCCTTAACCCTGGCAGCAGCAGTTGGTTCCAGTCTGCAACTTTTTTTTTTTTTTTTTGAGACGGAGTTTCGCTCTTGTTACCCAGGCTGGAGTGCAATGGCGCGATCTCGGCTCACCGCAACCTCCGCCTCCTGGGTTCAGGCAATTCTCCTACCTCAGCCTCCTGAGTAGCTGGGATTACAGGCACGCGCCACCATGCCCAGCTGATTTTTTGTATTTTTAGTAGAGACGGGGTTTCACCATGTTAACCAGGATGGTCTCCATCTCTTGACCTCATGATCCACCCACCTCGGCCTCCCAAAGTGCTGGGATTACAGGCGTGAGCCACCGCGCCCGGCCCCCAGTCTGCCACTTTCACTGACACTCCCAGGACTGGCCTCATTACAATCCCTCAGAGGTACTAGTAGTGTCCCCTTGTCCAAGGTCTGAGTCCCAGCTCTGTGGGGCTCTTCCCTCAAGCTTCTAGGTTCTGCTAACTAATCTCTTCCCTGTGTTACTCCAGTCCTAGTAACACAGGACAGAAGCAGCTAGCTATTTGCAATTACATCTATGTCCGTTTATGTTTTCTCAATTTTTCAACCTCTTAAAAATCACCTCTGTTGAAATACCTCCTATTGTTTGTTTTCCCAGCTGCATCACCACTAAGGCAAGCAAGTTTTCAATAACTATTTGGTAAATACGTAAATGCCATGTACTGTAGACGCATTGGGATATGGCAACAGGGCAGCCACAGACCTCTCATGAAGTATTTAACTACGATTACAGTCAGCGGTACAAAGTGCTACGGTCATAGCAATAACCTCAATAAAAGGTTATCAGATCCACTATACACTAGAATCTGGGGTCTAATTACATGGAGCTTTGGATTTCAAAAAGAATGTTAAAAGATTAAGAGCAAAGGCCAGGTGCAGTGGCTCATGTCTGTAATCCCAGCACTTGGGGAGGCCGAGGCTGGTGGATCACCCGACGTCAGGAATTCAAGATCAGAGTGGCCAATGTGGCGAAACCCCATCTCTACTAAAAACACAAAAAATTAGCTGGCATGGTGGCATGCACCTGTAGTCCCAGGCTGTACTTGGGAGGCTGAGGCAGGAGAATAGCTTGAACCCGAGAGGTGGAGGTTGTAGTGAGCCAAGATTGTGCCACTGCACTCCAGCCTGGGTGACAGAGTGAGAATCCGTCTCAAAAAAAAAAAAAAGATTATGAGCAAAGATATGATAGACATGTATGTACATTTCAGAATGATTAGCAGCAGCTTAGGGCTGTCTGAAATAAGTTGCTACAGGAAATTTAAGAGAGTACTATAATAATGAAGGCTAGAAGTACAGAAACCCTCAATATGGTAATAGTAGGACTGGAATGGATAAAAAACAGATAAAATGAATATAAGAAACAAACAGAATCAATAGGATTTAGAAACTGACTAAATGCAGAAGACAAAGGAGAATGGACTATTAAAAGGTATCTGAATCTAAGTCCTAATAAACTCAAACAATGTAGCACAAAATAAAGTAGACTATGTAAGAAATGATATCCAAAGGAAGTCTAAAATTTCCGCCAAGTGAGGTTCAATGCTAGCTATATATTTGTGAGTTAGCCACAGAGAAGAGAGCTTATATTTACATATAAAGTATGGTTTTATATAATTCAAAATTAATTACACTATACATACCCCCTGAATTGGTGCACCAGAAACCATGGCCACATTTGAACGTACTTCTTCTTCATTTAAACTGAGGCCCATGTACTGAGAGAGCTCCGGATACAGTCTGGGATAGAGATCTAATAAGTAAATGAATGAATGAATAAATAAAAAAGCACTTACAGAATACACAAAATGAAAACTACTTTTATTATGGCCTTCTGCATATTAACGAAATTACATTTAAGTGATAAAATCTAGAATGAGTTTAAAGTAGCAATTTGGAGAGGCACCTCCCCATCTCTGTAATGATCAGAAATGGAAAATACAGAAAATGTTTAAAATTCTTTTTTTTTTTTGAGACAGAGTTTCGCTCTTGTTACCGAGGCTGGAGTGCAATGGCGCGATCTTGGCTCACTGCAACCTGCGCCTCCTGAGTTCAGGCAATTCTCCTGCCTCAGCCCCCTGAGTAGCTGGGATTACAGGCACGTGCCACCATGCCCAGCTAATTTTTTGTATTTTTAGTAGAGACGGGGTTTCACCATGTTGACCAGGATGGTCTCGATCTCTTGACCTCATGATCCACCTGCCTCAGCCTCCCAAAGTGCTGGGATTACAGGCGTGAGCCACCGCGCCCGGCCTAAAATTTTTAAAATATGAAGACATCTGAACTGAAACAACCAGAGATTCTTAAATATTCAAAAGTAGAAACAATTTTTCCAAATAAGCTATCGTGCCTTTCCTGTTTCCTAAATCTACTTGATTAGGAATTTAATAAGAATACCATTGATTCTCCAATTCAGAACTGACCACAATATCTATCTGTCAAGTCAGCTACTGATAACTCATTCTGCAAAAAGGACTATGGAATGATTCTTCTGAACAATTTTTTTGAAAGCTTGTACATTTATTTAGTGTCTTATTTTAATAATGTTAAGCACATTCCAATGAAATCCTGGAATTTTTTTTTTTTTTTTTTGAGACCGAGTTTCACTCTTGTTACCCAGGCTGGAGTGCAATGGTGCAATCTCGGCTCACCGCAACCTCCACCTCCTGGGTTCAGGCAATTCTCCTGCCTCAGCCTCCTGAGTAGCTGGGATTACAGGCACGCACCACCATGCCCAGCTAATTTTTTGTATTTTTAGTAGAGATGGGGTTTCACCATGTTGACCAGGATAGTCTCGATCTCTTGACCTCGTGAGCCACCCTCCTTGGCCTCCCAAAATGCTGGGATTATAGGCTTGAGCCACCGTGCCCTGGCGGAAATATTTTTAAATATTAACATTATTTCACTTATTAGTAGTTATATACTATTTCCAAAAGCTTTTTTTACATGAGACTTAAAGTGAATTATCTGTGACTTAAAATGAATTTTCTATGAGCACAATGTTATAAACTGAAAATGACAGGCCACAAAAACCTATTTAACACTCATTTTGTATCTTAAGTCACAGTATTTAGGAGCTTTGTCCTGAATCCTTCTGAACCTTGAAGAAAAAGGGACCAAAGACAGGATACAGAGAATGAATAAAGACCTCAGGATTTAGGAAGCTCCCCAAAGATGAGGTGGTTGGAAATTTCAGAGGCTCCCATAGGAAAGACAGAGGACAATTCGGAAAGTTCAACAGCAGCAGCATGGGGCAACTATAGTTTTTATATATGTGAATTCATAGACATAATTCATTCATAGATGAATCAGCCAGATGTTAGGGATTTATGAGTCAGGCTAAAATCAATTTTCATTAAACCATAAAATACATCCAAAGAGCCACAGTTCACTCTGTTGATTAGAAAAAGGGTTAGTTTTTAAAGTAAACTTTTTTCTTATTAATAACTACCACAGCTTAACCACTGATTTTATGCAGCTTGTCAAAAAAAAAAAAATCTTGGATTCTTCGTTTGAGCAAAGAAGACAACAATATTTCTGTTCACAGAGAATAAACTCAAAATATAAACCTACTTCCATCTTGAGAGATGGGAGCAGAAGCTTCGGACAAAATTGCCGGATTGGCAGGGTTTGCAGAAAAAGCTGTTTGAGCCTGAAAAAGAAAAGAAGAAAATTCTAACAATATGCCACACTTACTTTATATTCTTATACAATTTATAAGTTAAGTCCAATACTTCCAAAAAGAAACCAAAAAAATGAAGATTTATTTAACAAGGTTTAATTTCAAACACGTCAGCAATACATTTTTCAAAGGAAATCTGCAAATCAAAACTATATTTGATATTCTAAATACTTTTAAGGCTATCATATAAAAATTATAGAAGTACCATTCTACATGTCTTATAACCAGTATTTCATAGTGCTGCCACAAATAGTTTCAAGGTGCATTCTAAAATGAAAAATTTTATATTATCATTATTCTTTTACTAATTAGTCCAAGTAAAAATATTTTATTTGCATAAGAAAAAAGCTCAACCACATTTGTATAAAAAGTCACATATCAGAAAAACACCTAAAAAGCTAATACTTACGAAGCTGCTAATATTTAACATTTTAGCATGTCCCACTGAAATCTCTTTATCTTCATTGCAGGAAGTATAACAAGGAGTTTATGCTATATTAAGTACTTTTAAAATATCAGAAACTATGCAAATAATACACTTTGTCACTAACATAAATGGATGATGACAAGGTAATGTAATTTGTAACTATTAAACAAACTTGCCAAAATCACTCTGATAAGGTAAATATTTATCAGTACTACTCATGCTCAAGTATCCTCTTCTGAGGGCTGCCTTGATGGCCTATATCATATGATGTATCTCACTGATTGAAACACTTTATCCTTTACAATTAGATCTGACTTTCTCAAATAGCTATGTGGCATTAGAGACAAGTTTAATAATAAGTTGTATGACCAATCTCTAATTACCAAATTTTTACTTGTTGGAATGTATCATTTAAAAAAATGAAGTTCACAGTTGTATCTCAATCTAGCCCTAAAATCAATGTCAAGAATAGTCCTAAAGATGCTTACACATATGAAAGCTTAGTTTAAATAAGCTTACAAAAGCTATGAATGGTACTAAAATCATATATTCTGATATACTTGTTGAGTCATCCTTTAATATTTATTATTTCATAATTTGCTAAACATTCTACACTTAAAATACAACACAAAAATCTTTATTATTGCAAATAACAATCCACAAACTGAACATGGTTGAACTTTGAAAGTTCTTTCGCCACCTAAAAGGAGTTAGTGGCTTGTTGTATTACTTCTTGAATCATGTCCAAGAAAAAAAATACTGTGCAGCACTAAACAAATGAGCTGAAAAGACATGAAAAGACATGGAGGAAACTTAAGTGGTTATTACTAATTAAAAGAAACCAATCTCAAAAGGCTACATACTTTATAATTCCAACTATATGACATCTTGAAAAATGCAAAATGGGCCAGGCGCGGTGGCTCAAGCTTGTAATCCCAGCACTTTGGGAGGCCGAGGCGGGTGGATCACGAGGTCGAGAGATCGAGACCATCCTGGTCAACATGGTGAAACCTCGTCTCTACTAAAAATACAAAATATTAGCTGGGCACGGTGGCACGTGCCTGTAATCCCAGCTACTCAGGAGGCTGAGGCAGGAGAATTACCTGAACCCAGGAGGCGGAGGTTGCGGTGAGCCGAGATTGAGCCATTGCACTCCAGCCTGGGTTAACAAGGGCGAAACTCCGTCTCAAAAAAAAAAAAAAAAAAAAAAAAAAGAAAAATGCAAAATGTGGAGACAATAAAATATTAGGACAGGCATGGTGACTCAGGCCTTTAATCCCAGCACTTTGGGAAGCCCAAGCAGGAGAGCTGCTTGAGGTCTGGAATTCAAGACCAGCCTGGACAACATAGGAAAACCCCGTCTATACAAAAAAAATTTTTGGCCAGGCGCAGTGGCTCACATCTGTAATACCAGCACTTTGGGAGGCCAAAGCAGGCGGATCACCTGAAGTCAAGAGTTCAAGACTAGACTAGCCAACATGGCAAAAACCCCATCTCTAGCTAAAATACAAAAATTAGCCAGACATGGTGGCAGGTGCCTGTAAATCCTAGCTACTGAGGAGGCTGAGGCAAGGAGAATTGTTTGAACCCAGAAGGCGGAGATAGCAGTGAGCCAAGATCACGCCACTGCACTCCAGCCTGGGTGACAAAGCAAGACTACATATCAAAATAAATAAATAAATAAATTTGGTAGGAGGCTTTGGCAGGAGGATAGAGGCTGCAGTGAACTATGATTGTACCACTGTACTCCACCCTGGGCAACACAGAGACATCCTGACTAAAAAAAATCACAAAAGCAAAAGCAAATTATTGGTTGCCAGGAGTTGCTGGAAGGGAAGGAAGAACAGGCATTAACAAAGGATTTTTGGAGCAGTCAAACTATTCTGTCTAATGCTACAATGGTATACAGTCATGTGCTACATGGTCTGGTCAATGATGAACCACATATACAACAGTGGTCTCATGAGATTATAATGAAGCTCAAAAATTCTGACTGCCTACTGACATAATAGCTACTGCAACACAGAACAACTCATTACTTTGTGGTGATGCTGGTATAAATAAGCTTACTGTACTGCCAGTCATATAAAAGTGCAGCACCTACAATTATGCATGGTTCATAATTATTTGATAATAAATGACTGTTCACTCATTTATGTCTTCCCTGTGTTATACATTTTATCTTACTTGTATATCCTTCTACTTGTAAAAAAAGTTAACTGGGCCAGGTATGGTGGCTTACATCTGTAATCCCAGCACTTTGGGAAGCTGAGGCAGGTGGATCACGAGGTCAAGAGATTGAGACCATCCTGGCCAACATGGTGAAACCTCATCTCTACCAAAAACACAAAAATTAGCTCAGCATGATGGCTCACGCCTGTAGTCCCAGCTACCTGGAAGGCTGAGACAGGAGAATCGCTTGAACCCGGGAGGCAGAGGTTGCAGTGAGCCAAGATCGAGCCACTGCACTCCAGCCTGGTGACAGAGTGAAACTCTGTTTAAAAAAAAAAAATTAACAGTCTCAGCAGGTCCTTCAGGAGTATTCCAAAAGGCACTGTTCTCATTGGAGATGAAAACTCCATGCATGTTACTGCTTCTGAAGATCTTTCAGTGGGGCAATGCAGAGGTGGAAGACAGTAATGATCCTGAACCTGTGCAGGCCTAGGCTAATATGAGTATGTGTCTTAGTTTTCAACTCACTCCCAAGTAATTTTTAAAAACTAAGAATTTAAAAAATAAGCTTATAGAATAAAGATATAAAGAGAAAACATTTTATACAGCTGTACAATGTGTTCGTGTTTTAAACTATGTTACAAGAGTAGGAAGTTAAAAAAATTAAGTTACAGGAAGCTAAGTTTAATTTATTATTTGAGAACAAAAGATTTTTTAATAGATTTAGTGCAGCCCAAGTGTTGAGTGCTGATGGAGTCCACAGCAGTATAATGTCCTGGGTCTCACATTCACCCACCACTCACTCACGGACTCACCCAGCGCAACTTCTAGTCCTGGGAGCTCCATTCATGATAAATGCCTTATATAGATGTACCATTTAAAATCTTTCACACCGTATTTTTCCCATTACCTCTTCTGTGTTTAGATACACAAATACTATTGTATAACAACAGCCTACAGTATTCAGTACAGTAACATGCTGTACAGGTTTGCAGCATAGGAACAACAGACTGTACCATATTGCCTAGATCTGTAATAGGCTATGCCATCTAGATTTGTGGAAGTACACTCTATCATGTTCGCACAACAAAACTGCCTAACGAGGCATTTCTCAGAACATAACCATCTTTTTTTTTTTTTTTTTTTTTTTGAGACGGAGTTTCGCCCTTGTTACCCAGGCTGGAGTGCAATGGCGCGATCTCGGCTCACCGCAACCTCCGCCTCCTGGGCTCAGGCAATTCTCCTGCCTCAGCCTCCTGAGTAGCTGGGATTACAGGCACGTGCCACCATGCCCAGCTAATTTTTTGCACTTTTAGTAGAGACGGGGTTTCACCATGTTGACCAGGATGGTCTCGATCTCTCGACCTCGTGATCCACCCGCCTCGGCCTCCCAAAGTGCTGGGATTACAGGCTTGAGCCACCGCGCCCGGCACAGAACATAACCATCTTTAAGCAATACATGACTATATACATGTCACTATACATTTGTCAAAACAGTGAACCCTAACGTAAACATGTAGACTTCGGGTGATAACTGATGAGCCAGATGTACTGCTCTGGTGCAGATGCTGATACTGGGGGAAGCAGTGCATGTGTGAGGACAGAGGGTATACTGTACTTTCTGATCAGTTTTGTTGTGAATCCAAAATTGCTCTAAAACACAGCTTATTAAATGAAAATACCTCTCCTTTGTGTGCAGTTACGATTTTCTATTCTTTTACTGCCATCGTTTTTAATCCAAGGAATACTGAAGAATACATATAGAAAGCTCCCTGTAAACAAAGTTATATAAACTTAATTATGTTATTTGCAATAAAAATGAAACAAAAGGATGTAACCCAATTTCAAGTACCGTAAACCATTAATTGTAGCTACTTATTTCAAACTTACTTTGAAATCTGACACTACTAATAAAGAGGGGTTGGGGTGCCTCAGGGAGCATGCCAGGGCCTGTTGTTTCCGTCATTAACAGAAAGGATGTGGTAAAACTGCACTTACAGAGTCACTTCTGCCAAATTCTGCTCACGATATTAGCAAACTGATAAGCTCTGGTTCTGTATATCATTATTTATTAAAAGCTTACTTTGCATAAGAAGAGCAACCACAGGCTCTTGTCAGGATTTGGAATGGATAGAGTTCTACAGACTGTATGATGCTAAAAGCCACAGCCTAATTAATGGCTGCTACAGAATAGTTTCAAAAATATGAATGGTTGGTCCACTGCTGTAATTTAGCTTTGCTGTGGTGTTAAAGGCCAGCAGATGAGAAAATGAAAACTACCTTCCTTCATAATACCATTTCAGGGGAATCCTAAGAATAAAAACAAACATGAGTATCATTGCCTTAGAAAATGATGCAAAAAAAAAAAAAATACAGCCAAAGAGTTTAATGGCTGGACTAGAAATATTTTAAAATTCAACTTCAGGGGTAATAAAAGAACCATGTTTCCTGCTCTTTACTCACTGTTCCATCTTTCAGCTGCTTTCTGCTCTGAACATAAAAGGTTCGTTAATGGAAAAACCTATGTAATTCAATTCACTTCTGCTTAAAGAGGACAGTATCATACAGATGGTAGCCTTCTTTATTTTTCATTCCAATATTTGTCAATATCAACTCTTCTTCTCCTGTTTGCAAAATCAAAATCCTCAGCTCATATCTGACTATGGTGATTTACATTCAATTCCATAAAAAGCCAACAAAAAAGGATGAAAACAAAGAACAGATTAGTCATGCTTTCAGGTCCATTTACAAATCCTTATCAGCTAATGTGCGGATGTCATGTTAATGGTTAAGTAGTTATTTTGGAAAGCTAAATATTTCAGATAAAAGCCTTTCAAAAAGAAAGAGATCTTGCTTAGATGAACTACGTGGAAATAAAAACCACATGAAGAAATTACTGACAAAATACTGAAGAAAGAAGTGAAAGGAACATTGAAAAGATGACTGAGGCAACGAAGCCTTGACAGCTGAACTGTAGATTTCAGAGATTTTACAAATCTCATTTTAATATCCATACTGGATCTATGATACAAAACAGCTGTTCAAAATTCAAATATCAAGTAATCTTACTTTCTAGTAAATTGAAGACAGGGCCTCAAGTAAATGATCTTCAAGGTAAGGAGTTTTTTGTTTATCTTGTCAAATTAAAGTAATAAACAATAGCTGAAGAAATTCTAAATTGATAAGAGATCAAGTTGAAAGCTAACCATAAACAGATGAATTCATCATATACTACAAATTATCCCCAGTTAAAATAATTACCAAAATTTTCCCACATAGCCAGAATTGATCCCCATTCTACATTTTGTTCTTAAGCAGAAGCGTCTGTCTTCAAAACTAATACTTATACGAAAGGACTATAAAAATTTTCAACTCAATGCAATTAGAAATACTGCAGTCTCTAACACAGTCATTTAGAGAATAAGCAAGTGAAATGTCTGCTACTCATTCTCTCAAAGGAAAAAAATCACTACACTTTCCTTGTGCTTTTACATGACTGCTGTTCCCAAAGCTGCATGTAATCCACTATTTCTGTAATTTTAACCTCAATTAGGAGGCACAGAATTACTTTAAAGAGTGATTATACTTAAAGAGCCAAAAGAAAAATATACCAATTTTACACAAAACTATGAATATCTAAAAAATTAGAGTATATTTTGTCAACTTAAATGTTACATACAATTTTAGTCAGAAAATTCAGCTACATGTAGAAAGTATAAGTCAAATTTTTAAAAAATCCCATTCCTGTTATTCACAGTGAAATGAAAAACAAATTGCTAGTTTTTCTGTAACATTTTAGCCTGCAATTAATAAAATTGAAAAAAGGTTTATGAAGTACAAAAATGAACAAATATATCTACTATTTAGCTATCCTGCTTTACTTCACCTATAAGTCGAATATATGTTACTGTGTCTGTTTTGAAAAACATTATTTAAACTATCATACCTGAATTACTTTGTCTACCTTCAAGTCTTCAAGAGATGGATAGAGAGACATTTTTGCTGGATTCTTCTAAAAAAAAAAAAAAGTTCTATTATTCTGATGTCACAGAAATTAAAACAACATTTAAATTGCAAAACATACTTAAAAATAGGAAAATATAGGCTATACCAAAAGTTGGCTGATACTTAACAATTACCAAACTACCCTTCCTTCCCCTAATATTATTACTGAACTATATCCATCACAGATTTTAAAATTCCTTTCAAGTAAAAGTCCCTTCATTTTACAAATTCAGAAAATCAAATAGAACAGTTATGTGACTTACTCCTAACTTAAGACAAGTACTTGCAACTTAGCCAGGACTAGGAAAGTACCCTTAGTACAATGCCCTTGGGCATTACACAGCTACATTTATTTCTAACAATAAAAGCCTAAAAGCAGATCATATGCAGTACCAATACATGAAAGCTCTATCACTAAGAAAACTGTATGCATACATATATGTATATAGAAGAAACTATACCAACTACTAACAGATTTATCTTCAGAAGACAGATGGTAATAGAATGAGGAATAAGAGGGAAATTTTTACTTTTCATTTAATAATACTTCTAAATTAAGTAGAAGTATGTTTTTTTAGTTATCATGAATTGCTTTTTGTAATAGTTTAAAACACAATTCTCTAAACGTGTTATATGAATACGTATTTTAAATTTTATTTAGCTGTTTTGAGATGAATAACTTTCACTCAACCCAATAAAACAGAATATATGCTAAAGTGGTACACAGTTTATAAGATTCTTGATTCAGGTATCAATTTATTACCTCCCATTTCCAAATCCATTTCTTATTGCTTTCTCTCTCAAAATGGAGCTAAGCCCTTTCAATATTGCTGTGTTGCCAGCTGGCATGATGTTAAGCCTTGTCAGTAGAGGCAACTTGGAGGAGTAAGAGGTTTTTCTCTTTGTGGTTCCAACGTACTACTCCAGCCAGACTCCTGTGGCACCTGCTCCTATAGCATCTTGCAACCTGCAGGAAGTAGTTTCACAAGCATGCAGATGCTCACCCCAGCACTCTGTTGAGTAACTTTGCAGCAGAATGCCACCATCAAGGAATCTCCCCAAGCAGCTTTCTCAATCCCTTCATGTGGCTTCTGCAGCAAATTCCAAGGTTCAGCACACCAGAGGGAGAATTTCAGGGAAGTTAAACAGCCTATCTGGCAACTTCACCAATTGCCAGTGACATCTGCCCCCTCTTCAGCCAGACATGGATCAGCCCCAGTAGGGGAGCAGCCCTGGAGTTAGCAGCTGCTTGTTAAGTCTGCTCTTAGAGTATTTTTCAAAATTGTCTTTACTTCTAATGAGTCAATCTCTACTTCTTCAACCATCTTATAACTAATAATTCTGTGTATTAGACCTCTGCTGTTAAAATCACTGTATGGTCTCTGTCTCCTAGTTAGACAGTATATAATAGTTCCTTTTCAAATTAATATAATTCACACATTCTAAAATACAGCCTTTCAAAGTATACAATGCAATGGTTTTTAGTATATTCACACACTTCTACAATCATCTCCACTATCTAATCTTAGAATATTTCCACCCTCCCCAAAAGAAATCTCATGCTTTCCCCATTCTACCCTCCTTCCAGCTCCAGGCAACCACACATACACTTCCCACCTCTGGATTTACCTATTGTGGATATTTAATGTAGAATCTTAGAAAATGTGGCCTTCTGGCCAGGTGCGGTGGCTCACCCCTGTAATCCCAGAACTTTAGGAGACCAAGGCAGGCGAGTCACCTGAGGTCGGGAGTTTGAGACCAGCCTGACGAACATGATGAAACCCCATCTCTAAAAACAAAACAACAACAACCAGGCGTGGTGGCTCACGCCTGTAATCCAAACACTTTGGAGGCCAAGGTGGCTGGATAACCTGAGGTTGAGAGTTCAAGACCAGCCTGACCAACATGGTGAAACCCTGTCTTTAAAAACAAACCAACAAACAACAACAACAAAAATATGTGGCTTTCTGCATCTGGCTTTTTTCACATATGCTCAAGGTTCATCTGCTGGAGCATGTATCAGTATTTCATTCATTTTTACAGCTGAATAATGTTCCATTGTATGTACACCACCTTGTATTTATGAATTCATCAGCTGATGACATTTGGGTTATATGCGCTTTTTCACTATTATGAATAATGCTGCTACAAATGCTAATAGCATCTGCACTGTTAGTAAATAATATGTAAGTTTACATACTTTTTTCAATAAATGCATCTTTAATTCTCTTAGTATATAGTTAAACATGGAACTGCTGGGTCATATAGTAACTCTAATACCATCCCCTTGATGATTACAGGATTCGACATATGAATGGAGGGACAGGGTCACAAACATTCAGACCACAGCATAGACCACTATCATATATGATTTACAAATACTTTGCTTATTCTGTAGATTGTCTTTTCATTTTTTCACAGTACACTTTGCAGCATGAAGTTTTTAGTTTTGACAAAGTTGAATCTATATTTCTTCTTGGTTGCTTATGCTTTAGACCTAATATCTAAGAAACTATTGCCCAACTTAAGGTCATGAAGAATTACCCTTATGTTTTCTTCTAAAAATTTTATGTCTTTAGTTCTTGCATTTATATGTTTGATTTATTTTGTTAATTTTGTACATGATGTGTGGTATTTGATATAAATGTGGTCACCACTACTCTTTTTTGGTTACCATTTGCATGGAATATCTTTTTCCATCCTTTTACTTTCAGCATGTGTCCTTAAATCTAAACAGTGTCTCTTATAAACTGGGTGTAGCTGGCTCTTGGTTTTCTTTTCTTAATCCATTCAGCCCCTCTATGTCTTCTGACTGGAGAGTTTAGTACACTTACAGTTAAAGTTATTGCTGAGAAGGAAGGACTTGCAATTGACATTTTGTTATTGATTTTCTTTCTTGTGGCTTTTTTGTGCTTCCTCTCCTCTCTTGCCATCACGCTTGTTGTTTCAGACTTTGTAACAGATATGCTTTGCTTCCTTTCTTTCTTGTATTTTCTATGGGTATTTTCTTTGTGGTTACCATGGAGCTTACATAAAACAGCTCATAATAAACCTATTTTAAGCTGATAACTTCAACTGCATACAATACTGCTTCTTCTCATCCACCCCCATACTGCATTACTGTCACAAATTACATCTTTTATGCTGTGGATCCATTAACATTTTTATTTTTTTATTTTTTAGAGACAGGGTCTTGCTATGTTGCCCAGGCTGGAGTGCAGGGGCTATTCACAGGTGCGATACCAATACTGATCAGCACGGGAGTTTTGACCCGCTCCGTTTCTGACCTGGGCCGGTTCACCCCTCCTTAGGCAACCTGGTGGTTCCCTGCTCCTGGGAGGTCACCATATTGATGTTGAACTTAGTGCAGACACCAGATTGACATAGTGCACTACAGCCCAGAACTCCTGGGCTCAAGCGATCCTCCAGCCTCAGCCTCCAGAGTAGCTGGGACTACAGGAATGCACCACCACACCTGGATCCATTAACATTTTTATAGTTATAGGCACTTATACTTTTGTCTTAAGATTTATGTATCAGACATAAATGTGATTTACTCACCACCACCATTACAATATGCAAATCTGTATTTGTCCATAGCTTTATCCTTTCATTTTAAACTTTCATGTTGAACATCCTTTTGTTTCCATTTAATAGACTCCATCAGCATTCAGTTACAGTGGTGATGAACTCTCTCAGATTTTGCTTATTTCTTATTTTGCTTATTTTGTATTGAGAATCTTATTTCTCTTTTACTTTTGAAGGAAAGTTTTGCCAGATACAATACTTTGCTGGCAGTTTTTCTTCCAGCAGTTTGACTGTATCATCCCACTCCTTTTCAACCTACAAGGTTTCTGCTAAGAAATCTACTTACAGTCCTAAAGGATCTCCTTTGTACATGACAAGTTGCTCTTTTCCTGATGCTTTCAAAATTCTTTGACTTAGATAATTTGATTATGGTGTGGTTCCATGTAGATGTCTTCAGATTGTTCCACCTTGGAGTCCCTGGGGTTTCTTGAATCTGGATGTCTACTACCTTCCTCAGATTTGGGAAGTTTTGGGCATTATTTCTTCATATGCTCCTTTCTTTTTCCAACATATGGATCTTCTGTACAATCTATATTGATACAATTGATGCTGTCCCATTAGTACTCTAGGCGGTCTTCATTCTTTATTATTTTTATTTTTGTTTCTTTGACTGGAAAATTTCAAATGACTGGCTTCAATTTCATTAATTCTTCTCCTTGAAACACTGCTGCTAAACCCCTCTAGTAAATCTACCAATTTAGTCAAAGCAGCATATTGCATCTGTTACAACATCTGTTTGGTTTCTTTTTACGTTTTCAATCTCTTTGTTGATAGCATTTTGTTCGTGCAGCATTTTCCTCCAGTCACTGAGCATCTTTATGGTGGTTAGTCTGAATTCCTTCTGAGATAATCAAGATATATCCGTTATTTAAAGTTGGTTCCTGGATATTTTGACCCTTTGATTGTGCCATGTTTCTTTGTGTGCCTTTTAACATCATGTTGGAATCTATGCATTTGAAAAAATATCACCTCTCCCAGACTTTGTGAACTGGCTCTATACAGAGAAAAATCTCACTGACCAGCCTGACTAGAGATTCTGCACTCCTTTTGAACCTTTCCTGAGGATGCTCCTTCTCAACTAGTGTGTATAAATTCTCAAGACGAACTTTTTGGTTTTCTTTTCCAGGATCTCATAATCTTTTGCTCCCTGTGGTATCTGACTATAGTACTTCAGGTTCTCTGAAGCTGCTGCAAGCCACCCAGGCTTTTGTTTTCAGAGGTGCCCAACCTGGTGCCCTTTCCTGTCAGTGGCTTTTAAGAGTATGCCCACTCCTGCCTGTGCTCCAAGTCAGGTGAAACAGAAACCAGTCCCTTAGGCAGCTCTCTGAAGTGCTGGAATGTAAGACACATACTCCACTATTCTCTCCCCAAGGCCTTTCATGCCACACCTAGGGAGAGGCTGCTGAGCTGTAGCATTCT